TGTTTCTTGTTCAGCTTTGATGTGAGTTTTTTGGTTATCTTAGAGCATCTTTATTTTCCCGTTTTAGATGTTGATGTTTCTTGTTCAGCTTTGATGTGAGTTTTTTGGTTATCTTAGAGCATCGTTATGTTCTCGTTTTAGATTTTGATGTTTCTTGTTAAAGTTTCATATGGGTTATTTGATATATTTTAGGGCATTGCTCTTTTTTCGTTTTGTGTTTTGAAGATCCCACACTGATACAAATAACCGTATAGGACAGGTACTTTTTAACTACTGATATGGTACGGTAACGATCGCATACTATGTAGGACGTACTATTATTAAACTCTCTTACAACTTCTAGTGTAATAAAATCAACTTAAATGGATTTATTTCCCACATTTTAGGGGAATTTCTGTGTGTTAATGTGAGCTCCTCATTCCATGCTTGTATTCTGCCAAGTCAACGTTGTGATTCTGTCATCGACTGTGATGACGGAAGTGATGAAATAGACTGTGGTAAGTTTATCAATTTTGTTATTATCTTGTGTTGTCCTCGTCAGTAGGATGTTCTTGAAGGATGAGGGAAATTACAAACAAAAAGTCATTTATCTATAAAAAAACATTATCAGAAACACTCAAAATACCGATCTTTTAATTTGCGTATTTCAAAAATAACAACATTTTTGAGAAACGCGTTGTTTTGTTACCAGATATGTCGACGTAAACGTATAACAAATTTCTGTTTGTTTCAGAATCTTTTAGGTTAATCTTATCTGATCAAATAGTGGGATTTGACAGTCACACACACATAGCCCCAATGTATGAAGCGCATTTTTGCGAAAACGGGTCGTAAACCATGAATCCTCGGTTTCACAGTCCGAACTCTCTAACACTAGGCCACGCCCAGTCCGCACATCAAGCTCTCAAGGCACGTATCTAAAGATGCTAACTAAACACTGTTCTTGAATACTACCAAGTTATCTTAATATATATAAAAAAATATTATCCGGAAGAGTCGAATTCATAGGCATGAACAAGGGTAAACATGTATGAAAAACATGACCAAGATTAAAGATATATGGAAAACATGATCAAGGGTAAAGATATATGGAAAACAAGAACAAAGGTAAGCATGTATGAAAAACATTAACAAAGGTAAACATCAATGAAAAAACATGAACATGGTTAAACATGTATGAAAAACATGACCAAGATTAAAGATATATGAAAAACATTAACAAGGCTAAACATGTATGAGAGACATGATCAAGGGTAAACATATACATATGAGAAACGTGAACAAAGGTAAACATGTATGAGAAACCTGAACAAGGTTAAACATGTATGAAAAACATGAACAAGGGTAAACATGTATGAAAAACATGACCAAGATTAAAGATATATGCAAAACATGATCAAGGGTAAAGATATATAAAAGCATGAACAAAGGTAAGCATGTATGAAAAACATTAACAAGGGTAAACATGTATGAGAGACATGATCAAGGGTAAATATATATATATATATGAAAAACGTGAATAAAGGTAAACATGTATGAGAAACATGAACAAGGTTAAATATGTATGAAAAACATTAAAAAAGATAAACATCTATGAAAAAACATGAACATGGTTAAACATGTATGAAAAACATGACCAAGGTTAAAGATATATGAAAAACATTAACAAGGGTACACATGTATGAGAGACATGATCAAGGGTAAAAATATACATATGAAAAACGTGAATAAAGGTAAACATGTATGAGAAACCTGAATAAGGGTAAACATATATAAAAACTATCCGTATGAAAAATGATGAACGATTCAGTTCCTTTGCCAGATGGCGAGCATTATGGTACTGGAGTAACGATGGCTGGTAAGTTTATGGACTTACGACGCTAAAATCCGAGGTTAAAGTCCCAGTTGTGTAGCTTTGCACTATAAAAACAAGTAAGGATGAATTGATAAATTATTTTGTGGTTAAAGTGTTTTATATCAAGACAAGTCGTCTTTTTATTATTTGTTTATAAGATACACCGTATAATAAAGTTTCATGTGGTATATGTGACCTGACAGTCCTACATTAAATATTTATAATATTAATACAGCTGCTGCCATCTGGGAAGTATTCATTTATTTCAAAAATGTTTGTGTCAAGACCTTTTGTCAAATATATTCATTCAGTTGGTCGAATCTGTTTAGCTCTGAATATAATACGTACGCAGTACTATTGATAAATTAATTTTATAACTTTTTAACGTTCATAAGTTGGATAAACTCTTGTATTTCATATTGGATGTCAAATGCTTTGTTTGAAAAAAAAAATTGCCCATCGATAAAACAGCACTGACACCACATGATCGATGTTACGCTCTTAGTATTGAGAAAATTAAAAATGTTGTGAAAGTTATTTTACATTTAATTGTCTTAAAGTACAATTTTTACTATTTTACTCCAGAAAAACGTTTGATAAACTCTAAACGTATATCATAAAGCGCTTAAACAACGTGAACGTAAAATAGCTTTTATTGGAACAGTAGTACTAGTTAACACAGCAATATCAAAAGACACAGTAGCAGGTGTTGTGTCAGAAGTGGAGTTAAACTGTGTTGTTTCAGGATTGGTTTAGTTGTTGGTAAGCAGAAAGCTATACGAAGCTATCTATAACCTGCCTATCAAAGGTATCGAAGCCCGAATTTTAAAGCTATACAATGGGCTATCTATAACCTGCCTATCAATGGTATCGACGCCTGAATTTTAAAGCTATACAATGGGCTATCTATAACCTACCTATCAAAGGTATCGAAGCCTGAATTATAAAGCTGTACAATGGGCTATCTATGCCCTGCTGATCAAAGGTATCGAAACCTGAATTTTAAAGCTACGGTGGGCTATCTATGCCCTGCCTATCAAAGGTATTGAAAGCTGAATTTTAAAGTTATACAATGGGCTAGCTATACCCTCCCTATCAAAGGAATAGAAACCCGAATTTTAGCGTTTTACCGGGAAGCTGTTTCAGGAGAAGTGAAGAATGTTAAAACAATCAACAAAGGAAGAACATTTCTTATCACTAGCGATTTACTTATTTTCTTCAGATCAGCAGGGTAATTACGATACTAGAAACATGTTCTCAAGTGAGCACCACTTTTCTTTTATATGAAATTTCTAATGGTATTACGTAAGCATAGCTTCCCTCCACCTAGTGGAACATATGCATACTATAATTTAAAAAACAAATTTCCCATGAATCACCCTCAATGAAATGTTCGACAGATTATTTTACTGCTTTATAATTATCCTAGAAACCTGAAGAAACGAAATAGTTTGAAACTTTATCTTCGTGAATTAAAGCTGTTCCATTTTGTAACTAGTCGATTCTTTTTTATATATATAAATGTCTGTTTGTGTGTTGTTGAATTTCGCGCAAAGCTACTCGAGGGATATTCACACTAGCCTCCCTAATATAGCAGCGATAGATTAAAGGGAAGACAGCTAGTCATCACCACCCACCGTCAACCCTTGGGCTACTCTTTTACCAACAAAAAATGGGATTAACCGACACATTATAGCACCTCCACGGCTGAAGGAACGAGCAAGTTCGGTGACGTGTTTTCGAACGCTCAACCCGCAGATTCCGAATCGAACGCTTTAAATTCAACGGAGCACGCCTTATGAATGTCGAATCAGTATTACATTCTGGATAACGGTTAATATTCAGTTCTTTACTCATGTTCTTCATGCCACAGTTTAAAGTCTGTTTACGATGACCGAGTGTTTGGCGTCTAGTTTCACCGTTCTTTATGTACGGTGAAAAATATTTCCCATTAATTATCTAACTCGCGATTTAATTTAATTTTGCTAGAATCTGGTTGCCACGGTAACTACCAATGTCAGAGCGGGAAGTGTATCGCACGACATCAAGTGTGTGACCAAATAACAGATTGCAGAGGAGAAGAAGATGAAACCAATTGTGGTGAGTCTAAGTTTTCCTTCTAAACAAAATTTTGTGTAGATAACTACTCGGAATTATTATATAACACCTTAGTTAGTTCCTGTTAAAGATCTGTCGAATAAGCAATACTTAGTCTGGTAAAATAGCCTTAAAGTGTTGAAAAAAAACAACATTTATTTCTTTTCGAGCAGTTCGGCTATTCAGGATTTCCTCTTGCTTTTAATTGTGATTCTCTTCGAGAAAATTAAAGGGTCCATTGATAAGCAGCTTGTTGTTTAACCAAATGTTCGGTAGAGGGATGGAGGTGAAATATTTTTCAAAAATCGCACGTTTATTACTTTCAGCACCGTTGATATGGTTTATGAGATATATGTGTGATAATCTTAGAGTTTTGATTCACCTGAAATCATACAAAGGAACCCTTTCGACATAGGTAAGAAGAAATGGTGTTAGCTCTTTTTGCCAGTATTTTAATCTTCTAGAAAAGGACGACGTTTCGTTTTTTGCTCTAAGTACTTGTATATCTTGATGCGTAAATGTTGATTGCTCGAATTGTTCGAGCAGTGTTGTTGTTTTTTTTTTCAAAGAATTTCATGCCATAAACACATGAGAAATTAAGAATATTAACTTCATTAACTGCGTATACAGGTTCGTAGCTGGAAAAAGAAGCTTACTAATTATTCTTACTGAAGGAATTCCACAGGAGACAAAACATTAGACACTTCAACTTGAAGAAAACACACTACAAGTCTTTCACCTTGCAATGAATATAACGAGATGTCAATCCCTGATCTTCTACGCCCCTCATTTGGCAGTGTTGAACTCAGTATAGCGTAATCTCTTCACAGTGTTTAACATGGTGTAACACGATGTCAATTCCTGATCTTCTACGCCCCTCATCTGGCAGTGTTGAACGCAGTATAGCGTAATCTCATCACAGTGTTTAACATGGTATAACACGATGTCAATTCCTGATATTTATCTATACTATTAATTAAGATTCATATAATGAACATTTTTTGTCACAACAACAATCAATTGTGAAAGTTATTCTATAATGTTTTACAATTTAATTTAACTAAATTAATGCTGCTACACAGTTTAATAATTTTTTCTTTCTATAAGATGCATGGAAATGCTTGAGCAGTGAATTTAAGTGTAACAATGGTCGCTGCATTCCTAGAGATTGGCACTGTGATGGTGTTGACCAGTGTGGAGATCAAACTGATGAGGCTGGTTGTGGTAAGTTCGTGTTTACAGTACATTTCTACCTATATCAATAAACAAAACAGCTACACAACGAAGTTTGTAAAAATAACCAGGGAAATAAATATCACAAACTAGGACAACCTGTGATAATATTTTATAAGTAAATAATTATATACAAAAATACTGAGTTCACCGGGAAACCTAACAGAGGCAGGGTCGTTTATGTAATAATTGTAACTTTTTAGTTTATAAGTTTAGGGCCTTCTTTCAGGTCTATCAAGCATAATAAAGTTTTTTGATGATTTAATTTATTAAAGAGTATTAGATTTACTGTTTGGTTTTGAACGGATTTGTCACATTCCTAACTTTTAGTTTGTTTTCATATGTTATCAACAAATTTTAAAACCTTATGTTTTTTACCTCTGGTTTTTACAGTGCGATGAACAAGCATTAGCGATTTCCTGAATAGACGTGTGTTACATTGTTGTATCTATACATTCTATAGTTAGAAGTGAACTTTAGTTTCAAGAATGTATCACAACTCT